GCAGTGTATGATTGTGCTTTAAGCTGGCCATACACCTTACAACCATCGCACGACTTTCGTTATGCGATGGTTGTAAGGTCATTAAAATCTCGTATGATCTGCCCATCTTGGACAGGCAGATCGTACTTGCGATCATCGCAAGCCCGCCCCCCTGAGGGGAGGGCTTCAGATGATTGCAGTGCTGAGTGGGCAGTGTGCGCTTGTGGCATTCGTCTTCTAAACACGCCACCAAAAATTGTATGATTTTCGGCAGGTTTTCCAGCGTGCTCGGAAGACGAAAGATGTACGACCTTACAGTAGAAGCGGTCGCACGCTGCCCATACACCTGCCGACTATCGTACGATCGCGGGATCACCCACAACTATCGTACGATAATCGGCAGGGGTATGGGCACCTTTAGTGTATGTTTATATTAGGCCCCATTCACACCTACAGTATATTTCAGGTGTGATTAGAGATTCCTGTGTCAGGAACGTGTTTCCTGCAGCAGGAATCCCTAATCTGCCATTTACAAACGACAACTATCATAAGATAAGAATTATCATAAGATTATTTAAGAGGGTGTGTTTAGGGGAGGAGTTAAGGCCGGGGCAGGGTAAGGTGGGGCAACTGAAGGCTAGTAATTCTTAAGGCCTGGCTAGTAGCTCAGGACTTGAAATTTTGAGCCCTGATCTATTGGATAGACTTACTACCAAGGGAGATGGCCTCAAGAAGCAGGTGGGCCTTGGACCTTACAATTTTTTGATAAGCTGCAGGAGGCACTTACCGGAGATGGTAAGTTGCTATAAAGGGCCAGATTAAATAGGTCCATTATTATAGAGGGGGTGGGGGAGAAGGGCATTTCCAGCTAAAGAGGATTTTTTTTTTGTTGAGGCCTAGTGGTAGAGTGCTTGTTGTAAATTTCTAGGAGGGGGGAAGAGAGATGGAGGTCATCCACCAACCCCATGAGTCATACCTTGAGACAACAAGTGTAAGACCCCAACACAGATTCAATAAAACAATAAAATTGTACCCATAATTAAGGTATAGGGGGGCAAGACCCCATTGCATTAAGAAAATCAGCCTCTTGACCACATCCTTGTAAGCAAAGTGGGAAATGAAAGTTTAACATGATATAGCCTCAATGGAGTATTAGATTTGAACACTCCTAACCTTATGCTGAGTGGATGCAGTGTTTACAAGTTCA